TGTCAGTGCCCTCACTGAGGTTTTTTTTTTTGGGGGGGGGGTTTTGGGAAAATGTAGGGGGGCTATTCTGTGCCCCCCCCAGTTTGAACTCCAAACCAAACCAGAGAGATTATGTCCCTCTAAACTGAGTCAGTGTGAGCTAGCTCACAGTTTCTTTGCCTCCAGCTCACAGATTTTTGTCTCAGCCCAGGAAGGAGGCCTCCAGAGCAAATTAATTTATGCAATAGCCAAATCACTTGCTCATAACTTTAATGCCAGGGGCTCACAAAATATAATTTTTGCTCACAAGACTCCACAGCTTAGAGGGAGCATTGATTACGTCCCTTTCCTGCTGGGGAAGGAGGAATGGGGAGGGTAGAAGGCTCAGGGGAGAGGATGATGCCCATCTTAGGTAAGCCCCCACTGTCCCCCTTGCACCTTTGGAACACGCCCCTCCGTCTGAAAAGGCCTCGCTGCCAGGAAAGAACCGCTTGCCAACTGGGGATGCCGGCTGGTCACACTGTCTGAGAGCCTAGCTTCTCAAAGGTTTCGAAGTGCAGAAGCATTTTTACCAGATAGCAAATTGGCAAAAAGGAACGGCTCACAAACGTTCATAATCTAATTTTTGATTTGTTGAATCCCATGCCTGGAAGATGACAAGAAACCTCCAGGATCTCCAGCCAAACTGGCCTGGGAAATAATTGCATCCTGACCCCAAAGTGGCGATCAGCATTTCCCTGGGAATGTAAGAAAGGGCCACAAGAACTAAGCACTGACACCACCCTTCCTGCCCTCCCTTCTCATGATCTGCCTAAGTGCACGAAATCAGCATTGCTGTCAGATGGCCATCTAGCCTCTGTTTTTTTCAGCCACTTAGCTGGTTAAAGTTCTAAGAAATGGGATCCCATGCCCTTGGACTTATTTGATAGATAGCTTTGGATGTATGTTTTCTATTGTTGGATATTAGATCTGTATGGACATGGTAATTTCTTTTATTTTTTTAAAATCTAGCCTCTGTTTAAAAACCTTCAAAGAAGAACAGCACACCACATCCCAAAGGTTCAAAGGGTTTCTCCCCTGTGCGGGTACTTTCATGAAGTTGAAGAGTGTGACTGACCGAATCTCTTTTCACACACTGAGCATTCAAAGGGTTTCTCTGTGGTGTGGATTCTTTGGTGCGGTTGAAGATGGCCACTCTGACTGAATCTTTTCCCACACTCTGAGCATTCAAAAGGCTTCTCCCATGTGGGTTCTTTGGTGCACTTGAAGATTGCCCCTCCTACTGAATCTCTTTCCACACTCTGAGCATTCAAAAGGTTTCTCCCCTGTGTGTGTTCTTCGGTGCACTCGAAGTGTGCCGTTTTCAGTGAATCTCTTTCCACACTCTGAGCATTCAAAAGGTTTCTCCCCTGTGTGGGTTCTCTGATGCTGTTGAAGGCTGTCACTGTTACTGAATCTCTTTCCACACTCTGAGCATCCAAAAGGTTTTTCCACTGTGTGGGTTCTTTGATGCCGTAGAAGATGGCTGTTCCTACTGAATTTATTACCACACTCTGAGCATTCAAAAGGCTTCTCCCCCGTGTGGGTACTTTGATGCAGTTGAAGAGTGCCACGCCGACTGAATCTCTTTCCACACTCTGAGCATTCAAAAGGTTTCTCTCCTGTGTGGGTTCTCTGATGCTCTTGAAGATTGCCACTCTGACTGAATCTCTTTCCACACTCTGAGCATTCAAAAGGTTTCTCCCCTGTGTGGGTTCTCTGATGCCGTTGAAGATCACCACTCCCACTGAATTTCTTTCCACACTCTGAGCATTGAAAAGGTTTCCTCCCTGTGTGAGTTCTTTGGTGCACTTGAAGAGTTCCACTCTCACTGAATCTCTTTCCACACTCTGAGCATTCAAAAGGTTTCTCCCCTGTATGCGTTCTTTGGTGCAGTTGAAGATGACCACTCCTATTGAATCTCTTTCCACACTCTAAGCATTCAAAAGGTTTCACTCCTGTGTGGGTTCTTTGATGCTGTTGAAGAGTGCCACTGTGATTGAATCTCTTTCCACACACTGAGCATTCAAAAGGTTTCTCCCCTGTGTGTGTTCTCTGATGTCGTTGAAGAGCGCCACACTCACTGAATCTCTTTCTACACACTGAGCATTCAAAGGGTTTCTCTCCTGTGTGGGTTCTTTTGTGTGTTTGAAGATGGCCACTCTGACTGAATCTCTTTCCACACTCTGAGCATCCAAAAGGTTTCTCCCCTGTGTGGGTTCTTTGGTGCACTTGAAGATCGCCACTCCTACTGAACCTTTTCCCGCACACTGAGCATTCAAAAGGCTTCTCCCCCGTGTGGGTTGTCTGATGCCACTGAAGAGTGGCAGTGTGAGTGAATCTCTTTCCACACACTGAGCATTCAAAAAAATTCTCCCCTCTCTTTATTGTTTGGTGCACAAGGAGCTGAGATCGATTTCTGAAGTACTTTCCACACTGAATGGATTTACCTGCCTTCATTATTTTGTGCACTGGAAAATGTACATTAAGCCTACTTCCATCTTGCTTCTCAACCAAATGGCTGCCTTTCTCTCTCTTAGGTCTGCCTCCATTCTTGACATCTTCTTTCAGGTCTTCATTTTTAACTCTATCTGGCCTTTGTGGATGAAGTTCCTGACCCTCCTCATTCCTCTCATTATCCACCACTGGAATAAAGAGAGAGAGCCTGTTAGCACCTGGGAGGGCCTGTAAGGTCCAAAGGCATCTATGTGACTGCAGGAGGAAAGGACTGATGGCCCTTTGGCCCCGAATAGCTTCACTGATCTTAAGCATCCCTCCACAGCTTTTCCCAGAATATCTAGTACTGAAGGATACATCACACCCTTTTCAAGAGCCGCAGCTGAGCTCTTGCCCAGAAGTAGCTTCGGAGCTTCCAGATTTCAGGCTCTCAAAAGGCCTCCCTCCCTCCTTACCCAGCGGCCTATATGATTACCCCAACATCTGCTGGTGATTCCAGGCTCCAAAGAGGTCAGGAATGCTGCTCCCAGGGCCAGGGCCTTTTCGGTGGCGGCTCCTACCTGGTGGAATGAGCTCCCGGAGGAGATCCGGGCCCTGTGGGATCTCGCGCAGTTCCGCCGGGCCTGCAAGATGGAGCTCTTCCACCAGGTTTTCGAGTAGGAACCGCCACTACCTCCACCACCTGAGGTGGGTAACATCGGGGTGTGAGATGGCCCTGTGTTAAATGAACGACAGCGCTGCGCGGATCTAATACCACTGAACTGGGACTGGTCTCCCCAGGACACCGTCTTGTTACTGAAGACTTTCCTGAAACATCCGAGCACTTTGTATTGTTGTAATTGATTGATTGTTTTATCTTGTTTTTAATTGTTTTAACTATTGGCATGTGTGCCCTATTTGTGAGCCGCGCTTGCGGGGAGGGCAGGCTATAAATTTAATAATAAATAAAATAAATAAATAAATGTTGCTCAGAAGAGAATCAGGAATCCCCCCTGGCCATTCCTTGCCCGTTCCCTTGACAGAACCGTGAAGGATACTCACTCTCAGCCGGCACACTTGGGAAGGAAATATGCTCTTGGGGTCCTCTTGAGCAACTCTCCAACCTTTCTTTCGATTCAAGGCCACTGTCTGTCTCCACTGTAGCCTCTCTTATACTTCTGGCGTCTTTCAGAGAGAAACAGAGAAAGAGAGAGATCTTTCTGATATGGGGAAGGAAAGATATTCAAAAGTAAAAATTCTTCTGGAAGAATGGATCCGTGGTCAAGAGCCAGTTTGGTGTCGTGGTTAAGTGTGCGGACTCTAATCT